GGGCTGCCAGTTTAAAAAAAACCATAGCATTTTCTGTGGGATATACAGAAGTGATGTTCTGGGGCTTGGTCACTGGGCTTATGTCTCTAAGAGGTGGCACTGGTTAAGAGAATTAGCTTTTCCAGGAAGTTATTTGTCTTACTGAACACCAGAGGAAGCTGCTTTTCTTCTTGTGTGTGATATCAGATCACACAGAGAATACCAAAGACGCTAGAGGGAACGTCCTATCTGGGCAATCTTTCTGAGATGAAACTCACCTTCTGATTTCCTCTGTGTGATTGACAGAGCTGATATCAGAAGCACACGTCCAACTTTCACCAGGTTCAGGCAGATATACTCTCATGCCTGGCTATTCACAGCAGGAAGGCCGTGTTCTCAAACAGGAGGTATTTTGATTGTACCAATTTGTGTGTGCACATGGACTGCCTGCATTTTTTAGGGCACGTAAAAAAAATAGTAGTCGTCTATTGGAGAGGACTAGATTTTTTTAATGCAGATTTAAGTTTTTATTGAAGTAAAGTCAATTTACATTGTTATGTTAGTTTCAAGTGTATAGCAAAATGATTCAGTTTTATGTATATATATATAACACACACACACACACACACACACACACACACACACATGTATTCTTTTACAGAGTCTTTTCCATTATAGGTTATTAAAAGATTTGAGTATAGGTCCTTGTTGTTTATTTTCTATATAGTAGTGTGTATCTCTATTTTCTATACGGTAGTGTGTATATATTAATCCCAAACTCCCAATTTATCCCCGCCCCCCCATTCCTCCTTTGGTAACCATTAGTTTGTCTTCTATGTCTGTGAGTCTATTTCTGTTATGTAAATAAGTTTGTTTGTATCGCTTTTTAGATTCCACACATGGGTGATATCATATGATATTTGTTTTTGGCTGACTTACTTCATTTAGTATGATCGTCTCTAGGTCCACCCATGTTGCTGCAAATAGCATCATTTCATTCTTTTATATGGCAAATAACATTCCATTGTATATATGTACCACATCTTCTTTATCCACTCATCTGTCAGTGGACATTTAGGTTGCTTCCATGTCTTGGCTATCATAAATAGTCCTGCTATGAACATTGGGGTGTATCTATCTTTTCGAATTAGAGTTTTCTCCAGATACATGCCCAGGAGTGGGATTGTTGGATCATGTGGTAACTCTATGTTTAGTTTCTTAAGGAACCTCCAGACTGTTCTCCGTAGTGGCTGCACCAATTTACATTCCCACCAACAGTGTAGGAGGGTTCCCTTTTCTCCACACCCTCTCCAGTATTTATTATTTGTAGACTTTATAATGGTGGCCATTCTGACCAGTGTGAGGTGGTACCTCACTGTAGTTTTGGTTTGCATTTTATAATGAGTGATATTGACCGTCTTTTCATGTGCCTGTTGGCCATCTGTATGGAAGAGGACTAGATGTTAAAGTCCTTGCTATCAGCTCTATGTCTTAATCCTCCTCTCTATCCACCTGGCACCTAGCATACTGTCTGACACGAAGTAGGTGCTTATTAAGTGCTTATTGAATAAGTGAGTGTAAGGACCATAGGGTCAAATTTTTTCCATAGCAAAATGCTTCGACCCTAATAAGTGCGCTCTCTCCCCTCCATCCTTCTTATCCTGTCCCTCCCACCCAACAGATGGTGCTGAAAATGTTATTACTGGAGTCTCTTCTTTATGTTTAAGACTTTACGTATCAATTTAAAACATAAATAGCCTTAAGATAAATAAGGCTTTATGTTAGCAGCCATGTATGGCAAAGCATCCTCGGAGTAAGAATACGAATACAAGCTTCTATCAGAGGGGAGAGTGGACACCCGGGGAGGGGTTTGATTGTCAGGAGCATTGGAAGGTAGTACAGCGAGGCCAGGTATTAATCCCTTAACGACCTGGCCTACCACTGGCCAGAAGAAATTAGGACCGTGTTTGCTTATGAGCTGACAATTGTGAGAATTTTGCATCCAGGTTGATAAGCAAAGAAGGTATCAGTACACGGAAGAAAAATTCTTTTAGGTGCCTTTACCACCCTCTGAGTAATCTGTGTCTAGAAGCCCCCCCAACCCTGCCCACCTTCACTGGTGGGTTAGATCCATGTAAGGGAAGAAATATCCAAAAAGGAGCTAAGATCAGTCGTTAGGAAAGTGGTCAGCCTCCTGTTCCTACTTTAAAAACTAAGTATTAGAGTTCTACAAGTGATACATGAATATTCTCATTCTTTGACACTCAAGCACGGCAGAAGTTGTGAAGAAAGACAGGCACATTCTCCCCTTTCACCACCACGGTCTACAGCTCCACACCTTTCTTCTCCCCGCAGAAAATCACTGTTAATGGTTCGGTACTTTTCCAGACCTTTTTCCATGCATTTGTATACATACATGAACATATACAAATGTATAAGATTTTCTTCCCTTTGTAAATGAGATCGGATTATGCATATTGTTTGGCAACTTGATTTTTCCCTTAATAACATGCCCTAAACATCTTCCCCGTCCCTGAGACCACCAAAATAAAAACCCGCAGGTAGATTAAGTCCCGTGTTCAAATCCTGCTCTGTC